GTTGGTGTAGTTCTGGTCTATGTAGCAAGCCCTAGAAAGCAAGAGGAAAGGGAGAGAGGTATATTTACTAATGTGAAGGAAGGTACATTTACTAAGAACAAGTGTTTTCTCTAGCCCTGTGAAATGTACTTCCCTTATGTTAACTAAGTAATGCTCATCAACAGCCATTGTGTAGGTAAAGAAACTCAAATTCAGAGAGGTTAGGTAATGTATCAAAAATCACACAGTAATTGAAGTCAATTTTTTTTAGCATCCTTCTCTTTGTGTCCAGAATCCATACTTTTCCCCATACAACGTGCTACTCATTGGTTAAAGTACAATTCCTTGTGATTTATCTGAAGTAACTGAGTGTGTATCTCCTAGAAAAGACAGAGCCAGGAGCTGGACACTGTATCAGCACCTCCCTTTCCTGCCAGTGCTCAACTTGGCAAAATTATTCCTGGAGGCTGGGCTTCAGAATGATAAAGCAGTCACCAAGTAGGGGTTTTATTTATTCATTTTTATTGAATTGGTGCAATTACTCAGGCTGAGCCATAAGTAAACATCCTGCCAGAGACACACAGGGAGGGAAGACTAATGACAATAAATTCCTAGTTCCTTTAAAGTTGTTTGATGTAATTCTGGTTGGCAGTCCAGGGAGGATGCTGTTTTCCTGTAGAGTTTTTACTGTGATTGCTGTGAGCTGTTTGCCCTCGTCTCTGACTTGCATGCTCACTGCTCTCTAGGTTCAGAAATAACTCCATTGCTGACTTTAAAGTGAAGAAAGTAATGCCTGGAAAAATGCTGTATGAATTAAAATAACTAGATATGTTCTGTCAGCAAAACGGGAGCATTGAGTTGGTCATACGCAACTGGACGAGGGGCAAATCCATGCCGTGGGTGAAGCCCCATCCAGATCTTATGAGAAACAAGAATGAACCTTCCTCCCCATGATTTCCTCTCTACTCCCAGCCCACACTCCACATTTCCTGCATGACTGACTTCACCTTGGTTCCAACGGCCAGGTCTCCACTGCCAGGGCCCAAAGGTTTGTGCCAATTACTGTACCTTGAGAGTTGAGATGAAAGTGCTTTTCTCCTGAATTACTTGGAAAGTTGCCTTTATTTCCTTTTTCATGTTTTACTAGACTAGGCCTAGCCTTTAGCTGAGAGGGTCTAGCCCAAGTAGCCCATTACTGAATGTCTCCTGCAGGGCCATTGCCAAAATGGCATTGTGAGGTCACTGCAGTCTGTTTTAGCTGCCAGAATATTATTGCTTTGAACGTTAATAGTTTCTTCCCTCTGAACAGCCCAAGCTACTTGTCAAATATGCAAAAGGGAAAATGGAGAGTACCTTGCGATAATTAGGTGTTCCCATATTTATCAACTTGGATATGCACAGTCCAGAAGTTCAGGTGTGTTTTTAATGTTGTACAATTTATGAAGAGGGTCCTTGATCCTCTTAAATAAGAGGGTCCTTATAAGGAGAGCTTACTAAGCTTTCAGATAAGACCCTACTGAAGCTATTGAAATTGACCTGATTGTTATATATGTAAATTTCTGAAGATTCAACACAGGGACAATGTACATTGAGTGCCTGTGTACTGTTTTTCTCTTCTCTCATCCAATTCTCAAAATAACCCCATGATCAAGCATTTAGCCCTCCTTTTTATGGAGGCCTGTCTCTAGACCATAATCTCTATTGGAGCCCAGAGGGTGCAGTTTATTCACTGCTGTATTGATGGGAGCAAACATAGGTCTTGCTTATCATTGGAACTCCATGAATATTTGTTGAATTAACTCTGGCCTTCAGTTGGATGTTTAACTGTTGAACTGAACAACTTGAAAACACTGAAGATCAGAAAAGTGAAGTGACATGCTCAGGTCTCCAAGTTATTAAATGGTGGATCAGAATTCAGGCCAATCCCAGCCCCCTTCTATTGAGAACAGAACAGTGAAGAGCGTTTCCTGTAGATCATGTCTCCTGTTTCCCTCAGCACCTCTGCTAGTGGGCACCATTAGTGACAGGTTTCCAAGCCTGTGTGCTTTTTCTACTAGGGCACGCTGTCTCCCAACTCAGAAGTCTGAGTCTTCTTGGTACTGATGCAGAAGCCTTTCTCATGGCTGGCAGAAATGGCAGCTCAGTGACACCCAAGTGGAGAGTGACTGATTTATTTTTGGCAGGAGAGAGGCTGGCGTAGATCATTCATCCTCTGTGACTGAGAGATAGGTGGACCCTCATGTTCTCTCTTCTCTGCCTTTGGCAGACAAAGGATGTGACAGCCCTGACTACTTGGGGAGTTAGTTTGTGATGGGGAAGGAGCTTCTCTGGAATTAGCTAAAATGTTTCTCTTGTGAAGGAAACAGTTTTCTTAAGTCCCAGTGACACAAGAGCTGAGCTAGCTGCGCATTTGTCTGGGAATTTGATAAGAAGGTGAGACAGGCTAGCCAGGGGGAAAGGCAACCAAGGGGGCAAAGCTGCAGGGATTTTGGCTCATGACAAAATTTGCTAAGGGACCCGAATGCCTAAAACAAGCAAATTCCAGGGCAAGAGAATAATCAAGAATGAGGAGGAATGTGGAAGAAGGGGTAGTGGCGGCAATATAAATATTAGTCAGCCAAGTTTTCTATTACAACTCTGATCTTTCCATGATTTTCAGTTTTAGGCCCTAAATTATCCAGGTCAATACAGATAACACTGTAAATGTTTAACTGTTCTAATCAATCCTTTTAACCTAAAAATGTGTAATTGAGGGAAGAAATAGAGCAAGTCTGTTACCCTTCTTTGCTCTAACATTTTGTCTCTGATCATTAGACCAGCAGTTAAAAGCCTCATGTTTTAGTATTGAATATTCCTTTGTTTATGAGTTGAGTCACCTTGGAAAATCCTTTTGGTCTCTGAACCTCAGCTCTTGCACCTGAGACAGTAGTGTAGGCTGTTTTCCTAGGTTTTTAGCTTGCCTTGAAGCACTAAATACCTACATGACCTCAGACATCTGTCTTAGCTTCTCTGAACCTTAGTTTCCTTGTCTCTAAAGGGAAAATGATACCAGTGGCTACCTCTCTATGTCCGTGTAAGAATGCCATGCCCCTCACAACACATAAAGGCTTGTGCAGAGGGCATGTCATGATAAATGTTTTCTATGGACACAACTGTGGGGCATCTTAGGGGTATTGCTCTGTTCCACAGTCCGTTGTTGCCAGTATCTATTTAAAGGATGCACTTTGAAAACTTAATATGCATATGCACGTGTGCATCTGTGCCTAGGTAAATGAGAACCACTCCTGTCATTATCCTATGGTTTTACATTTCTTATCTACTTGCTTATTTTTATCAAATTGCTTGATGATGCTATTTCTCCCTAAAGAAATAAGACCCCGATGTTAGGATCTCTTTATAGAATTTCTTTTCTGTTCTTTAATATCACTCAATAATATTTATGTTATTTTGCTGTTTTCAAAGCCCTTTCAAAGACATCTCAATCACTCCACACTGCAATCCTGAATGGTACATGTTGCTGTAATTCTTCCCTCACAGATGAGGGAACTGGGGCTCAAGGAGGTAATTTATTTAGCGTCCCTGGGGTGTGGCAGGAAGCATGTAAGAGGAGGCATATCTTTGTTATGAACCTAGATTTTTCAATTCCAAGGTATGTGTTCTCCCCTCCTTTAAAAGGCTGTCTCCTATTAAGTGCTTCCTGGTCCTCTGTGCCATCAATCTGGACTGTGCAAGGGGCTGGGCTGCTCCTTAGCAAGGCAGGAGTTTAGAAACACCATCTGACTAATATGGGAACCTCACTGCGTTCCCCACTCCTCGCTGCCTCTGTTTCCCCTCGCTCTGTGCAGATTCACAGTGCTCACCCATCACGCGGCCCTGAGCATGGCCACGTGGGACTGCACAGTGAATGCCATGATTGGAGTAGTAGCTCAAGGTAAGCTATTTTTAAAGTTCCTACTTTGCTGAATTATTGCAATCATTGCACCACCATCTATGCTGTGCGGGGTTGCCCTCAGAGGGCAGAAGACCAGCAGCTAATCAGCTGTCCCTTGCTCCTTGGAAAGATTTGAGAATCATGCCATAGCAGCTAAAGAGGAACCCGCACACCAAAGGCTCGGCCTCTCTCTCTTTTTCTAACTTTGTATTCCCATCCAGGCGCGCTCCGCTCCACCGAGGCGAGGGGTCACAATACTCTCCACAGTCTCTCAAATCACTCCACAGTAATACTCTTTATAGAGCCTATTATTGTCAGTAGAAAACAATTTTGAGGCCTGTATGTGATTAGGGCAGATGGCCAGCTGGAGGCATTTGAAGAAAATATCTTTTTACACTTCCTTTTATTGAATTTGGAGAATTCGTGGTTTAATGCAGAGTTTTGCACTGCATTTCAATACAGCAAAACTTGGAAGAAAATCTCTTTTAAAGCTACAGATGGATCTTGGTAACGCTCTGATTAAATAGTTGTTAGACATAAACCGTTTCCCTGCACTCATCACAGGCCCTTCTCTAATCACGGTAATTCTCAACTTTGATTTCATTATTTTAAGAAGGAAGACAGAAGAAAAGTGAAATGCAATTTAATGAGTTCTTCACTCATCCAGTGTGACACAAGAGAAAACTAGAGGACAAAAACCAAAAAAATTAAAATGGCGTACTGTCAAGCTTTCTAGGCGTGAGTTTTTTTTTTTTTTTTGTATCTAAAATCACTGGTTATACAATTAATACATTAGTTTCTGATAAAAATGTAGTCAACCCTCAACAGTTTCTTCTCTTTATCTCTAAACCACTCATGCATGCTGCGCATATGGTGATGAATCAGGAACTTCCCAGCGATGCATTGCTTCTCCTCTTCTATAACGAGAGGAGATTTAATAGTGTACTTTTAGATCACTTTTTATCATATCCATGAATATATTGAGTCTCCCTTTTTTCTGGAAACTTAATTACACATGTCTGAAGGGCAGAGATCGTGGGTTAAATTTCTTCTGTCGTCTCCATGCTTTGAGTGTAGCGAGAACGGATCTCACATTTGGGAGGCAGGAGATGGGCAGAGGCTTTAAGTGTCCAAATGCTGTAACATACGAAATACGTGGCTCATATTCAAAGACAGCTTTTTGGTCCTTTAACCTGTGGGATGAATATTACCAAAAATGGGAAGTGAGAAAAAAATCTATAGAGAAAGAGGGTCTATTTTTGCTATGGGGTACCCATAAGCTGTTGGTCTAGATAATATTTCTTCCCATCTGTAGCTGAGACTGTTAGCTCCTTCCGTTTCTGCTGCCAGCTTCTCCTTAGCACTCAGCTAGAACCTATTTCCTGGTTTCTTTTACAGTTTGATATGGCCACATAACTGAATTATAGCTAATGGAATGTGTGCAGAAGTCATGTTTGTCATATCTAGACCTAGCATAAACATCTTCCACCCATGTTCTTCCATACTCTTTTCCCGTTTTGGCTGGCTGTGGAAGACAGGCAATAGAGAAGGCAGGGTCATGACCAGTTTGGTGCCGGGAAGGGAACAGACAGTCCTCACTGAGATGAGCTGCCCAGGAATATTTTGACTCATAAATGAGAAGTTTCAGCCAGTTGCGGTGGCTCACGCCTGTAATCCTAGCACTTTGGGAGGCCGAGGCTGGTGGATCACCTGAGGTCAGGAGTTTGAGACCAGCCTGGCCAACATGATAAAATGCTGTCTGTACTAAAAATACAGAAAAATTAGCTGGGTGTGGTGGTGGGTGCCTGTAATCCCAGTTACTCTGGAGGCTGAGGCAGGAGAATCGCTTGAATCCGGGAGGCAGAGGTTGCAGTGAGCCAAGATCACACCACTGCACTCCGGCCCCCTGGGCGAAAGAGCAAAACTCCGTCACAAAAAAAAAAAAAAAAAAAAAAAAAAAAAAAGAGTGAGAGAGAAGTTTCTATTATGTTCCATCATTACATGTGTGGGTGTATTTGTTAGTGCAGCCTGATATCTTCTAACTACTACACCATGCACCTATTGGATCAGAATAAATCCAACTTGTAGCTGAAAACAAACAGATCATTGGACTAGGACTCTCAGTAACATTGGAAGGCACATTATCCACAGAGATGGAATAGACAATGCTGACATAGTTTTAAAGGCCCTACCTTTGCCATAGCATTTCTCAAAACGTCATTCCATAAAACTCCAGAGCAGAAGCTGAGTGGACCGTAGAATCTGCGGAAGCTTCAGTGCCGAATTTTAATGATAATGGATGGAAGAGTAACACTTTAGACTTCGGCAAGAAAAGTAATATGGGGCCCAGATGAATATGTGAACTCTCTGTGATTCTTCTAGGGAATAGGAAGAAGACTTGAGAGTCGACAGTGCCAATGATATTCCTGTGTGTATATGTGTCGGTGTGACAGTGTGTGTAGGTGGGCACTCAAAACCTTAGACTTTTTTCCTTACCTTTTCTTACCACTACCTTTGTTAGCAGCCCTGTTTGGTGGCCGTGCCTAAGTAGATATGCCTGAGAGGTGCAAGGGTTGCATGTCAATTACATCCTATGAAAGCAGAAGATAGATAAAGAGAGTATGTATAATTATTTTTTTTGGTTTTGGAAGATGTGAGCTTTATATCAACCAAGACTTGTGTAGCTGATATGCTTCTGTTTTACAAAAATGTCTAAAGTTTTCTGCTTTCTAACTTTGTACTTTTAACCTAGAGAAAATTATAGTTTTCATCTAATGCAAAAAGTAATGATTCACTGTCCTGTCTAGGTTTATTTGGCTAGTTATGAGATCTGGAGGCAATTTGAGATGTTCATTTTTATCACTGTACATAAAAATCTGATTAGCAAGTACTCTTCAGTGATCTTATTGTCTTTCAGAAGCAACTCTGCTTTCTTACATTTTAAATTGCACTTTAATGTTTAAAGAAACCTGCCTTTCTTGAGGACTCTTTAAAGATGTTTGCTGGTCTATTTATTGATGGAAAGTTCACAGGACGTACTTTTTTTCTTCTTATTCTGATTGTCTAAAGAAATAAGTGACACTTTTTTTATGTGCATGACTATGGTAAGCCTAAGATTGACCGCCTAATTCAAAAGTTACAAACAAGGCCCAGAGGGTGGTTTTTCTTTTTATTTTCTTTTTTGATTTGGGTCAAATCTTAGAAAATATCTGGTAGATCTGGCAACACTGTAGTCACATTTCCACCAGCAGTCATTGGCTGGACCTGAGCGGAGGCTGCTCTCTTTAGGTGGATCATGGGCTTCTCTGCCAGAGTGTCTAGCACTTGTCCACAGTACACAGACCTACTGAAGTGGCTTCATTTATGTATATTTGCTGGTTCGTGTAGAGATTTTAGTTTACATCCATGGGGTTTACCTGTTAAACTGTGAATCTGTGTTTGTGTTTATAAGGGCATACAGTTGAGAAATCAATTAGTATAAATTTGTGTATCTGAAGATTTTAATCCATTAGCCATATGTTTTAGGCAGTTCAGCACCACAAAATAAAACTCTATGCCATTCTAATTTGTAAAAGTGCATGTAAAAATTCAACATAAAATATTAACAGTGTATTAAAAGACCAAGAAGTGTTTAGTCAATGCAAGAAACATTAACATGAGAAACGTATCATTGTAATTCATTACATTAACAGATCAAAAGAGCACAAAAATCATTCAATAGTTGCTAAAAAGGAATGCCTAGCCATGATTTCAAATGACCAAAAAAACCTTTTTCCAAAGTAGCATAGAAGAATATTTCTTTAATATTATGAAAAGTATCTACCAGAAATCAGAACTGATATCAAAATTCATGGTGAAAAGCTGGGTGTGCTCCCATTAGGTTATAAAATAAGAAAAGAAAGCCTATTATCATCGACAACATTCAATGTTGTGTGGGAAATTCTAGCTAGTGCAGTAAGATGAGAAAATGAATAAATATGTATATATATAGGCAAGAATAAAATAAAATGAATTGAATAAGATGATTATGTTTAGCAAGGTGGCCGGATACCAGATGAACTTAAAACATCACTAGTTTTAGCATCACTAGTTTCTGTAGTGACAATAATTAATTACATGATAAATAAAAAAATCTCGTTCCCTCTAGTAATAAGATTTTTAAAACTTTAGAAATAGGTTTTAAAAATATGGAAATATTTTAAGGAAAAAACTTAGAAGTGCCTACCAACATTAGAGGTGTATGTATTTATGTTTTACTGCTCCACTACAAGTTACCACAAATTTTGTGGCTCAAAACATCACTCAATTTTTATTTCACAGTTCAGTAGATCAGAAGTCAGGGCATGGTGTAAATGGGCTGTCTGCCTTGGGTTTCACAGGGCTAACATCTAGGTGTTGGCCAGGCTGTTTTCTCCTCTGTGGCTCTGAGTTTTCTTCCAAGCACATTCAGATGATTTCCAGAATTCATATTCTTGTGATTCTTTGTCCTTTTTTTTTTTTTTTTTGAGATGGAGTCTTGCTCTGTCACCCAGACTGGAGTGCAGTGGTGCAATCTTGGCTCACTACAACCTCTGCCTCCCAGATTCAGGCGATTCTCCTGCCTCAGCTTCCTGAGTAGCTGGGATTACAGACACGTGCCATCACACCCAGCTAATTTGTTTCATTTTTAGTAAAGATGGGTTTTCGTCATGTTGGCCAGGCTGGTCTCAAACTCGTGAGCTCAAATGATCTGCCTGCCTCGGCCTCCCAAACTGCTGGGATTACAGGCATGAGTCACCGAGCCGGACTGGTTCTTTGTCTTCTTGATAGCTGTGAGCTCAGAGACTGTACTCAGCTCCTAGAGGCTGCCCTCAGTTCCTTGTCACATGACTTCCCTCTGCTCACAACAGCAATTTACTTCCTCAAGGCCTGCAGAGAGTGTCTGCTGCTACTTCTTGTCTCTTAAGGACTCACCTGATTAGATGAGGCCCAGCTCCAAATAATCTCCCTTTTTATTAACTCATGATCAATTGATCAGGAACTTTAACCACATCTGCAAAATCCCTTTTGCCACATACGGTAACATAATCATGGGAGTAAAATCCCATGATATACACAAGCCTTGCCAGTATTCAAAGAATAGGGTTTATATAGGGCGTGTACACTATAAGGCAGGACTCTTGGGGCCACCTTAGAATTCTGTTTGAAATATTATACCTCTTCACCAAGATTAAATAAAAGATGTCTAGTCTCTCTAAAAGAATCCATAAATTCAATGCATTTCAAATCCAAATTCCAATAGATTCTTCATGGAATTTGACAAGCTGATTCTAAATCCCATTGGGAAGACCAAAAATATAAACATAATCAAGAAAATTTTGAAAAAGAGGGAGGACTTGTAATCATGTATCAACATATTAAAAAAGTAATAGCATTCTATTGGTGTTAAGTGGAGAGGTTGATAAATAAATTGGTGAACCTAATAGTCCAAAACCAGACCAATGCATGATTATAAATTTGATATTTGTTGGTGCTATTTTTAATTAAGAGAATGAACAGCTCCATAATTTTCTTAAAGAAAATGAAAATTGGTCATAGCAAAAATATGGTTGTGGTATATAAAAAAAAAATCATGGAGCTTCTAACACTTGAAATTGCCTAAGTGATAAGACTGTTTTATCTATCTATTTATTTATTTATTTATTTATGACAGGGTCTCACTCTGTCACCCAGGCTGGAGTGCAGTGGCATGATCATGGCTCACTACAACCTAGACCTCCTAGGCTCAAACGCTTCTCTCACCTCAGCCTCTCGAGTAGCTGGGACTACAAGCATGCACCACGATGCCCAGCTAATTTATTTTTTATTTATTTTAGAGCTGGAGTCTTATCATGTTTCCCAGGCTGGTCTCAAACTCCAGGGCTCAAGTGATCCTCCTGCCTTGACATCCCAAAGTGCTAGGATTACAGGAGTGAGCCACCATGCAAGCATGAGTGTTTTTTTATTTTTATTTTTATTTTTTTGTATGGTCGATTAGATTACTCATGATGGAGGTCTTACCCTCAGATTAGGGACTTCTCCCTTTTGTATATTCTTACATACTATTTTAATTTTTTTCTCTTTATCATATGCAGCTATGACCTTAAGATTAAATAAAATAAAGAAAAATTAAGGCTTTCTTGTTCTTGGCATATCACAGTTGAGAAAACTGAAGTTCTAAGTGGCTCACCAGAAAGACAGGCCATGTGATTAGAGGGTTAGAAATTTCAGCCCCACCCTCAACTTCTGGGAAGAGAAGGGCATCAATGGCCAATGATTTAATCATAATGCCTGCATAATGAAGCCTCCATGGAAACTCTTAAACCATGAATTTGGTGAATACTTCCAGGTGCTTGCCTGGAGAGGGTATGGGAGCTCCACACCTCACCCCATACCTTGTCCTATATGGGAGCTCCACACCTCATCCTATACCTTGTCCTATCCATCTCTTCCGTTGGCTGTTTCTGAGTTATATTCTTTAAAATAAAACTATGAGTGTAAGTTTGGTGTTTTTTTAGTCATTTTAGTGAGTTATCCAACCCGAGAGGGAGTCCCAGAAACATCTCAGTATGTAACTGGCTGCTCAGAAGTGTGAGTAGTCTAGGGTTCCCATTTGCAGCTGGCATCTGGAGTGGGGCAGTCTGTGAGACTGATCCCTTAACCTTTAGGATCATTTCTATCTGTGTAGTGAATGTCAGACTTAAATTGAATTACAGGATACTCGATTGGTTGGAGAGTTGGTTGTTGTTGAAAAGACATAAAAATCATTATCAAAAATAATGAAGAGTCTTCTAGACGGAAAATTGTTAAATTGGCAAGTGTGAAAAATTATGCAAAATTAATATTGGCATGCAAAAATTTAAAAATTAGTAGTCAAAATAGCTACCATCAAAAAAGCTGCATCAGAATGTCACAACCAAAATATTATCTACCCATATTTTCAGTCATTATACAGTTTTCATCAAGTGTCATTGGTGTGCACAGAGCATAGCACTATTCTAATTTTTGAGAGACACACTCTCAGAAACTTATTTATTTGGTGAAAGAAACACCCTCCCACATAAAAGATGATTGACATCTACTTAAAAAAATGTCAAGACTCCTTAGCATATAACAGCTGAAGAGAATAAAATATAAAGAAGAAACTGAATTGTTAGAACTAGGACAATTTAATTTTTAATTAAAATCCTATAATATTCTGCAAATGTCTGGAATAAAAAGAAAGGACATATGCATATGCATGTATCCATATATGCACATATGTATATAAATATATACAACAAGGCATCACTCTGGAAGGACTCGTAAGAGACTGGATTAGGGAGGGGGGAAATGGTGAAAGTAGAATTCGGATGGGTAAAAGACATGTTTCGCCCTTTTGTATCTCCTTATATACTATTTGACTATTTTTCACTTTATCATACATAGGTGTTTTACTCAAGATTATATAAAATAAAAAGAAATTAAAGCCTTATTAATGGTACTTCACAAATGAGGAAACTGAAGCTTCGGGTAGTTTAGTACTTATTTATGAAAGCAAGTGAAATAAATCTTTCAGAGCACCTTCTAGACTTAGCTTTCAGGGATCTAAATCATAAATCACTATTATTAAAGATCTGTATCAGCAGGGGAAAAAAACATATTTTTAGATAACAAACAGCAACACCAAAAACAGTTGTCCCTGAGATTTTGATGTCTTCATAGGACAATAGGAGAGCTTAGCACTCATAAGGACATTTTCTTATTCATAGGGACAGGAGGCAGAGAAATTCTAAGGAGAAAAGGGCGGGTCTCTGCCAAAACTCAGTTCTCAATCTGAAAAGCCTGAAACCCGTGACCCAAAGTGACAGCTTCTCTCCCTGTTTTCCCACTTGAATGTTGCCTTTTCCTAAACTACCCATGGCCCACCCTGCCCCCCATCCTGTGCCCATAAAGACCCCAGAATCGGCTGGCAGAGGGGAGAAGCAGCTGGACATCAGGGACTATGGTTGGACATTGGAGAGAAGCGGCTTGACTTCAGAGGGACAGCTAGATGGCATAACTTCAGAGAAGAATCAGCTGAAGACGGCCGGACTTCAGAGGAAGATTATCTACACACCTCATCCTCTTTTCAGCTCCCCTCCCCGCTAAGAGCCACTTTCACTGGCAATAAAATCCCCTGCATTTCCCAGCTTCAGTTTGGTCATGTGACCTCATTTTTCCCTGATGCTGGACAAAGCTTGGGAGCCACGGGTGCAGAGGGCTGTCACACTGGCCTTTTGCCTTTCCTGGCAGAGGTCAGCCGCCTCATGCGAAAAAGCAAAGAGCCCACTGAGCTGTTAACACGGAAGCTGCCTAGGGACAGCAGAGCCAGAAGAGCACTGTCACACACCCTCTGGGGCTTTGTGAGTCGCAGGCGCCCTGCCTGGACACTGCTGCAGGACATGTATGAAATTTCCTCCTGTCAGTGTCCAAAAGAGGTTGCTCCAGCTTCTGCACTTGCTTACCTATGTGTTCCCTCCTGTGAGGGGTGGAATGTAGTGGGTCTGAGTCAGTGGAGTTTGATCCAGCCGGCGTTGAAATGGCCAGTGCTCATGCACTCCAGTTCCCATCTTGTTCGCTTACACACACTGCCTCCCACAAGGATTGAGAGCGGTGAGCTGAGTAAATGAAGCATCCCGTCGTGAGTCCCTTGAAGGGGTCAGGAAAATATCCTGCTTCAGTATGAGAAAGGTGAATACTTCGTTAAATATACACACAGAATATTTACTGTTCTGGCTAACTAGTCTGACTTTGGATCCAGTGCATGGAGTCTCGAAGAGACAGATCTGGTGGTTTTCACAGAGCACCTTGTAAGTGTGTCACCTTTGGTGTTTCACCTGACTTTTGTATGAACAAGTGACAGGTGTACCTACTACTCTTGGACTTGTTTTTCCTCTTTCTGTAAGATGAAAAAGAGTGCCACATGCCAGAGAAAGGGACTTTTTTTCTTTACATTAGGCTAAAAATATTTATGTTTGATGTTTCTATTTTTTCGATGATAAAAGCTGAGTAAAGGCAAAAGTAGCTATATTAATTTGAGCTATGTGGCAGGTGAACCAGAAAGTGTGTTGGTGGTACATTTCCATCCCTAGAGTATTTCCTGACAGGTATCAACCTATGAAAGGACCAATTTGCAATGGAAACACCAACACAGCTTTCAGAATAGCAGTATGAATGACACCATAAAATTACAACTACATGACATGTTTTCTTCTCGTAAGATTTAAAGGATTCAAATAAAAAACAACAACCCCATTTCCTTTCTTCACTTGGAACACTGAAGAAATTCCCACCAGGGCTTAAAATTCAGAAACCAAATGAGCTGCCACTATCGTAAGTGATTAAAGAACAACAACAATGACCAAATCACGGCCACAGGGATCTGCTTACTTAGCCAAAAATGAGCAAAGCGAGAAATAACCTGGCTCAAGCCATTTGCCCAAGTCATCATATCATTTTTCCCCCAGTTGCCTGCCTTGCTGCTGTTCCCCTTTGTATCCATAACTGTTCGCTGCTTCATCACCCCCTACCCCACATCTCCCTTCCAACAATGCCCCAGTGCATTCCCAATTGTGCAAGCGTTTGGCAAATTCATTTCCAAGGAAAAAAGTCTGCTGTCTTAATATAAGGGCTTTGCAAATTGTGGAGAGACAAACAAATGTACGACACACTAACTGATTTTACATCTTAAACCCCGAAAGCTCCTTTCTTATTCTACAGGCTGTCTCATCTGTTGTTCATCACCAGTGCAATCTTTACTGTGTAGCCAAATGCCTTGGTCCATTCTGGGGACTCTGCTACACCAGGACGAAACTTCCCATTCTACAGAAGCTGCCAACACTGACCCTGGAGGGAATGGCACTTGGCCACATGAAATCTACACATTACTGTTTGTTATCTTAGGATATTTTACTTTCTTGTTAATATTTGGGTTTGGGTGAATGTTACATGGAACAGAAAAGTGAGAGAGGAGAAGAAATAGGTTGTAAAATGTGAAAAGGGAGTAAAATAAAGAATGCTTTTTTCCTAAAATGCAGAGGTTCAGAAATAGGGGTAAAATAATACAAGGAGGGCACTGAAGAATCATTTTTTATGGCTCTATTTTCTATTAAATCTTTCTTTGGATGAAAAGAAATAAACACAAATTGTTCCTGCTTCCAAATCTGTTTGCCACAACCCCCCTCATGCCTACGGAGCCCATGCCTGGAAGCAGGGAGGCCAGAGAATGGGCTGCTGTGGACACCCAGAGTAGACAGGAGGTGGTGTGGCCCGAATTACACAGGGCAGTGAGGGCACAGCGAAGAGACAGACTTCATAGATATTGAGGAGGTATGATGCCAGGAATTTCCAATGCCATATGAGAGGGGACTTGAATCTGGAATAGAGATGAAGAGTCAAAGGTAATGTCTTGATTTCTGGCTTGGACACAGACTTGTTGGATGGGCAGGGCCATTCACTGCCATGCCGAGGGACAGGATTCAGAGGAAGGAGAAGGCTGGTGCTAGAGGCAAACGAGATGACCGCAGTTTAGGAAATAATTCATTTGTGGAATGGAAGGGCAAATTGATCAAGCTGTTAAATGTCAGTGCAAGATGATCACATTTTCTTTAGTAAAGAGGAGAGAGGTGACTGCCTCCTCCAGGTTCTCTTCCCAAGGGTATCTCCTTCAAAACGCTAAGGTCTGCATAAAGCATCTGACCTTGGATTTCACAAGGCAAGATCATAAGCCTTCTGCCCCTTGAGACTGTAAACACACACATCCATGATGAACTTTGAAGACTGTCTAGGGGTATATGTAGACAATCACACACAACAGTTGTGTCTTCTTGTCTCTCATGGAGGTAAGATAATTGTAATTGTTCTGTCTTCTACCTTTACAAATAAATTTGTGTGAAATTCTGTACAGACACTATAGATACTTTCCTGCTGCCTTTACATGCACATATGCCTGGGGTAATACCTACTTGGTTTTAAACTGTTCTCTCTCTCTTCTGTATTGGTATGGAGGGGTCTTGCATTGGCAAAATTCTTGTATTTCCTCAAGAGGTAGCTATGGAATATGTAAATAGAGATGTCCAGAAAACGTTTAATGTGTGGACTTTATGTCATTGGCTTGTAAAATGTCAGGCATTATTCCTAGCCTTGAAAGAGAAGGAAAACGGGGTTAAATCCTTGAGGACAGAGACAGGCCACAATAAAGTGCCCACAGAGGAGATAGAGAAGAGTTCATAGAGGAGGAGAAAGGAAGAAGGCCGTGTGTCTCTTGTTGATTTGATTGTGCCTCCCTGGGTCTAAACACACAACAGTGTTTGTCGAATGAGTAAATGAAAACTTGCCGTTATCTCCCAGTCTCCCATGACCTGAAAGGACAGGAACAGTTCCCTGAGGCTTGGCATGCCTGTTGCTTCATATTTCAAACTGTCTCTGCTCCCCATGAACACACACCTTCCTTCCCTCTATTCTCCCTCAGTGGTATATGAGACATGTCACTGTTCCACATTCTTACCAATATATGGCTTTGTCAGACACTTACATCTTTGCCCATTTATTTATTATTTGGATTGAGTGATGATTTAAACTTCGAGAAGATCAAAGGCTATAAAGTGAAAGTTCCCTCTCATCTTCAGTTTTTCTCTCTAGGACCAAGAGTGTTACCAATTTCTTTTTATCTTTTGATAGTCTATGCATATCCAAGAAAATATGTACATGTGTATGTACATGAATGTACATGTGTGTATATGTACAGATACCCACCTTATTTTATATAAATAGTAGCATGTCATTCTGCATCTTGGTTATTCTATTCAATGATAAAGTTTGGAGATTGCTTGATATTAGTATATAATAAACTTTGTAAATTTTAAAAAGTTTGTCTTAAAATAAATTTAAACTTAACAGAACTTTGCAAGAATGGCATGAAGAAATGCCTTGTAATCTCTAGCAAACTCACTAATTTTTAACATTTTGTCCCATTTGCTTTAGCATTCTGTTTCTCAAATTTTTTTTTATCATTTTTGGGCCACTCCTCTTTATCTTTTAATACTTCACTATGTATTTCCTAAGAACAAGGCTATTTGTTTGTATAACCAGTGTTCAGCTATCAAATTCAGAAAATGTAATGCTGATATATTTTTTATCTATTGTAGAGTCAATACTCCAATTTGGCGACTGTCTCCAAATGTACTTTATAATGTATTTTTCCGTACAAGATTCAGTCTAAGATGTAAAATTGCATTTAGTTGGTGATGTATTTTTGTTCTCCTTTATTCTGAAACAAAATCTCAGCCTTTGTTTATTTTTAATGACATTGATGCTTTTGGAGAATATATGCCAGATGTTTTATAGAATGTCTCTCGATTTGGGTTTGTATGATAGTTCCTGTATTTTGCTGTAATGTGACATGAGTGATATATTGCATCCATCTTGGGATTCATGTCCAAAGACAGGATGCGTTTGCTCCTCATTGGTGATGTTAACTTTGATCACTTGGTTAGGGTATTGATTGTCCCATTGTTCCACTGTACAATTACTAATCATCTTCTGTAATTAATAAGTAATTCATGGGGAGATGCTTGAGATTGTGTTTTCCACCTAGATTTAGCATCCACTGGTGATTCCTGTCTCGATCAGTTTTAACAATGGCGTTTGCAAGATACTGATGTTTCTACTTCAATAACACCTTCAATATTTATTAGTCAAAATTACGTTACAAAAAAGAGCTTTCGCTTCTCTGTCTTTCATTCATTCATTATCAGTATTATCTCATGGGCTCTTATTTTATTCAATGAATTGCAACTTGCCACTATTGATATCTGTTTTGTTGCTCAAATTTCCCCAGATTTGGCAAGCAGCAGCCCTTTCCATCTTTCCTCTATGTCTCTTTTCGTAAAGGGATTTATTTGTATACAAGAAAACTCTCCCATAAACAGGGTACCCATCACGACAATCCAGATTAGAACAGTTCTCTCATCCTGTAATGTTTCCGTGTTCCTTGCAACGGATTCTTTTCCCGGAATGCTGACCACTACCGACCTCTGATCTGTTTCTGTCACTCCAGTTTTGCCTTTTTCTAGAGTTTCATATAAGTGAAATTGTAGGTTGTGTAGTCTTGGCATTAACTCAACTTGATGAGGATTTTGTTTTGAAAAATTTATTGCTGGATTTGCTAACAGTTTGTTTAGAATTTTCACATGCAGATTAATGAGTGAGATTGTATCATAACTTTCCTTTCTCATACTGTCTTTGCCAGGTTTTGAGATCAAGGTTACCATAATCTCATAAAATGATTTACAAAGGATTCCTTTTAATAATTTCCTAAAAGAATGTGTAAAATATTAGAATAATTCATTCCTTAAAAGGTGGGAAAGACTCACAGCTTGATGCTTTCCTTGTGGGAAGGTTTTAAACTACTGACTTAATTTATCTAATTATTATAAGATTCTTCAGGATTTTTATTTCTTTTTGAGCCTGATTTGGCCTAGTTATTCCTGCTAGGCCTCTGATCTTTTAATTGAGCTTTAAAATTTAATGACACATAGTTGTTCACAGTATTCTTTCTGAATTTTATAATCCCTGCTACCTCTGTAATTATGTCCTCTTTTTAAAAATTCCCAGTATGGCTTATTTATACCAATTTTTTATAAATTTTTGTCATAAATTTATAATTTTTACATTTAAAATATTACTACATATATTAATACATATATTAGTCAATATAGTAACACATATATTAGTCAGTATATTAATACATATATTGAATGTATTAGTCCTCTTTATTGTATGTCTGTTTTCCATCTGGAACCATATGGGGAGAATATATTTTCCTTGAAGGGTCTTTCTTTCTGGGACGTAGGTTTTTTTCCTGGCCTATTTTTTCATGGTAGTACAGTCAGCTTCATGGCTCTCCACCCAGTGCACATCTCACCTCTAGCTTCTCCACTTTGAGGGGCGCCTGTCTTGGTTTCACCCCAGCCCTCCTGAAATGGCTCATCTCCCAAGCTCTCCTCTTGCCCTGAGGACAGAAACAGATTCGATTTAGGAGGTTATTACTCACTCATTTGCTTTGAGCTCATTTTTCTTTCTTTCTTTTTTTTTTTTTCCTTGTAGGTGTTTTATACGCTGTCTTGCAAACTTATCAATAAATTTTAAAATATGCTTCTTATAACGTAACCAGAGGATATTATAATAGAAAGGCATTTAAAAATATCAAGCCTGTGTGCTGCGTAAAAGCTGAAGTCCATTTAATTAAAGACCAATTCAAACTAAATAAAAATTAGAAAAGAAAAAATGATTCTATATGGTCGTGCTGCTTAAAGGAAATACAGTGTGAGCTATACATGTAGCTTTAAATTTTCTGATTGCCCCACTAAAAAGAAGAAAAAGAAATATATGAAATTAATTGTAATAATAAATAGATATTTTAAGATGTAAGTACATCATCTTTCCTTTAATTTAGAAAATGTGTTTCCATGGTTCTTTAAAGGATATATGTCATTTAATCCAATATATCCAAAATATTACCATTTCAGTATAATATAATTGTTAAAATATTTTACATTGTTTTGCACTACATCTGCAAGATCCAATGTGTATTTATACTTGCTGTTCAGCTCAGTTTGGACGACATTATTTTAAGTGTTCAATGTCACATGAGGTTAGTGCTACTGGTATTATTTAGTACAGTTCATAGCATCTTTACCAAGTTTTTATTGTATTTATCCAGCTGTTCTCTGTACCTTAATCTCTCAGATCTTTTTCTGATATCATCATTTTCTTTTGCTTTTAGAAGATGATTCTTATTTTCTCTATATGTAAAGAGAGGAAAACAGTTCAGGAGCTTCTTTGGGATAACAATTTTAATTCACATCACACCTTGATATTGTAAAAATATTCCTAATTGTTCCAACAACTCTGCCTTCTTAAAGTCTATTTCAAACAAGGAATGAGAGAGAAGCTCAACACTTTGGAAGTTTAAAAACTTGGATTTGAAAATAAACCACCATTTTATGTGCTCAGATTTTGTATTCGTTTTGTTAAGGTATCCAAAATAGTTCAGAATATTTGTAAGTGTTGTATTTTGGGAGATGAAAGATGATTCAGTTTTTCCATGCGAATGGAGACAAAACTATGAAATATCTTGATATCATAGTCAACCCTTCAAGGAAAATTTATTCTCCCCATTGATTTCAGATGGAAAACAGACATACAATAAAAAGGAGTAATGCATTCAATATATGTATTAATATATTGACTAATATATGTAGTAATGTATTGACTAATAGATGTGTTAATATATTGACTAATATATGTATTAATATATGTAGTAATATTTTTAAAGTAAAAATTATAAATTTGACAAAAATTTATAAAAAGATAACTTTACAGTTGTGATCATACCAAATATATCTAATCATTTATTTCACTACATGTTTAAAAAGTAAATGACCTATCATATATAATGCTTACTATGGTACTAGGCTCTGTTTAGGCCCAGGGGATAGAAGTAGCAATGATTCATTCCTGCCGTTGTGGAACATCTAGAGGTAGTTTCCTATAGATATAGACATGCATTTCAGTTTTGCAATAAGTATAATTAATGCTATCTATATATCTATCTGTGTATTTATCTATAGATACTCTCAGGTGGAATATAAACCCAAAATAGGTCATGCACAATTTTCCCTATATAGATTAGAAATTTGGAAAATTTCTACAGGCAGACTGTATTTAATCCAGGTATTGAATAATGTTCATTCATGAAACACACACTTTTTGTCAATGACTCCAGAATAAGTTTAACCTATGGAGGCTGAGAAGCATTCCTAAGTGTAACCATTTAATAGCTAAATTTTGAAAATATTCACCTATTTGCTTCAGTTTCTTTTTTAGGTATAGCCATGATCATCCAAAAAATGAAGTAAAACATTTCAAAATAATTAAAGATTTTACCTTTCGTGATAAAAAATTGTTAGTTTTTTTAAAAATAGCATTTTTTCTAGGTAGGGAAGATAATTCATTTTAATAATGTATTGACTAAAAATAAGTTATTCCAGATTTATGGAATAACAATGTGAAATGTTTTTCATAGTGTAGAAGGGCTGTTTCCTAGAATGTTTTTGCTTCTTAGTTCTTATTCTTCCTTTCTCAATATTTACAGATAGTCCTTTCTTTTCTCTCTCCCTCCCTTTCTTTCTTCCCAATGAGAAATCAAATTAAGTCCTTTAGTATGAAGATTGCAGCTCCTTAAGTGAATCAGGTGTGTCTCAATAATAGTTCCCTTGCCTTCTTAGTAATCTTGAGTAAAAGCAAGTCACAGACATTTTTACCAGAATGGAAAATGCATGAGAATAGAGTAAGTTGATTGTCTTTGACCTTCAGTAAGTTTTAACAGCCAAGGAAAGTGGTTTGTATTCCAATTAACACCCTTCAGAAACTGCCACCAATGAATGAAACTGCCTGAGATACACTAGGCAAAATAATTTTTTTGTCAGAGAAGATTGAAAGTACCAGAAAACACAGAACAGAGAGAACAGCCAGGAGACTATGACATCAAGGTATTTCAAATGTAGATTTCTTGACTGGAGAGTCATTTTAAAGGCATCTCAACCCCTTTGATCTTAACTGTGGCAGGACCAAAGTCCCATTCGGCCAGTGAGTAAGATCACTGACATGGGTCTGTTGATGTGGCTCTTTGGAGCAGCAAAAAGAGCACCGAAAAATATTCCTTCTGTGTCCACTGTGCTCAAAAAGAAAGATTGTGTATCATTTCAACCAAAATCACAGAAATTTACTGGTGGTTTGCTATTGGATTTTAAATGCCCTTTCATATACGTATTTACAATGGAAACTATAACAATATGCAATCATTTAGCACCCAATATTCCTGAAAGTGGTCACTTGAAGGAATAATTGCATAGCCATGGCACAATTCTTCTAAAGCCAAAATACATAATTGTCCCTTGATCCCCTTCCTAAAAGACGTTGTGTGCCTCATAGACTGAACTGAGAAAAAGCATTGTGCCCAGTGGGAACTCAGGCAGGCTTGCCTGGAAGGTGCTGCCCTCTCTCCCCAATGCAGAGCAGGAAGTGAGAAGGAATGCAACTGGACAGGATAAAAATGCTAAGCAGCTTTCCAGCTCCTTCCAAGCAGGTCTTGACAGTGGACTTCATTAGTTTTATTAGAGCATCATCAATTCCCTAAATGTCACTTGGAGCTCTATTCAAATATCAGCAAAGAAATATAATCCAAAGACAAACATATCTTGTTTGGTGATTATTCAGTGTTTATAAATATTCACATCCTGGCTCTTCTCCAGGGAAAATATTAAAAGTGTGGAGAACTGATGATTCTTGATCCTGATCAGTCATTTATCTGTTGAGAACTCAATTTCCTTATGTTAAAAAGAAGGGGGATGTTAAATTTAGGATTAAAGTACCCCCTTCTAACAAAGTTCCAGCAGGTTAAGTTCTGAGACTCTAAGAAGTTAATATCTTAGGCATCAAAGTGATTCACCACACCAAGCCTGGGACCATTGTTGACTTTCTTGCCATTCCTGTAACCGAACTTCGTTTGGTTTGTCTTTTCCATGCCCTTACCACTGCTAATCCTTATACTGTTAATTTCCTGATAGAACTCTTATAATATTCTTGTAAACGATCTCATTGATTTCATTGAAACTCCCCAATTTATCCTATACACCTGCATTTTCCACGGTGTCTACTTGGAACCTTAATCCCATGAGATATTTGGTGAGAGAAAAATCCAAAGGTTTCTTCATGAAATGGGTTTGGGAAAAGTTGCATGTTCTTTTTCTTGGAGAAACAAAACAAAGATAGGGAAGTTAAAGATTTTTGAGAAGTCTTAAAAATTGTTAAGTATGCTTACCCTTCATTTCCAAAGTTTATTGGACTGGAAATAATTTTGAGTCATCACTTTTAATATACAAAGTTCCCTAGAAATTTTCTTTGCAAAACATTGCTATATGTTTGTGTTAAAGTGATAATTCTAAGATGTAAATTGAATATGTCCCAGTTGTGCGTAAATATTGCATTGACCATATATTCCCCATAAGATCAAGTTCAAACTACCCAGCAGGGATACAAGGCTCTTCATGCTTTTGTCCCCAGTTACATGTCAAGCTAACTTCCAAACTTTTCCTGACACATACTTCACCTGTTTTCAAAGCATACTCTGCTCTCCAAGACCTCCTATGTGATACTTTTTGTCTGTATTCCCCTTCCTACCTTATCCAAATAGAAAATCCATACTCAGCCTTTAGATACAGCTCAAGCATTAGCTCCTCTTGGAAGATTTCCCTGGCCAGCACACCTAGCCAACCCACAATCTGCAAGATCTGTACTTTCCTCCAGGCTTGTGGAACACCCTGTGTCTGAGTGTCTACTTGTATAGGCTGTTTGTACTGTAGTTTTTGTGCATATCCTCTCCACTGTACTTCAAGCTTCTTGATAGTAGGGCTGTAGTATATTTGTATTAGTATCTTTTTTAAGTGGGTTAAAGGAAGACTGTAAGTAAAATTTGTTAAAAGAACAAATAAGTGCATGAGGAAAATTGTCTAACAGAATTAGAATAGTAAATGGAGAGAGGTTGAATTACCTTGAATTCAATTATAAGAGATTAGATTGACTCTAATATTAAAAAGATAGATTGAATTCTTTTAATTTCTCTTTGAAAGGGCAGAAGAAATATGTAGAAACTATTTTAGGCTATTGGATTTATTTCCTGCTTTTGGGGCTCTAATTCATTTTCTTGTGAGCTGATTCTATCCAGGTAAATTTTTGAAAATTCTATGTGAGTTGAAGGAAACCTCACACATATTATGGTGCACTTATTCAAACATATAAACAATTGCAGCACACTTTCAGGAGGGCTGTGATTGGCTTTCTGCTGTGAAGTGTGATCAGCATGGTGGTCAAGAAAAGCGTCCAATAGGCAGTGATGTTTATGCATAATCACAAGGTGGATTTAATTCTCCATGCCTAGAGACAAATACA